AAGAACAAAATAAGGTAGGAAAACCTTTATTCTTTCAAATACAGTTCTCCATTCTGTAGCTTTCTAAACCACAATGAAAAAGCAGGTTGAACATCTCACTTTTTTTTTTAATCTCATTTTCCATTACCTATGATCTAACACCCTTCACCTTTTTCATGAAGAAAAGCTATACCAGAAGACCAATAAACAGAAGATGGGCTTGATTCTAGGGACAGGTTGTTTTTCAAAGTTAAGATTAAGCTCAGAGGAATCTGAAACTTCAATTACAAAAAGTTCAATAGCCATAAAAGAATAACCTGCTCAATACCAAGCCCCTTCTTGCCAATTTAAAAAATTCTGGTATTTCTGAACCCCAGTTGTCAATTGAAGGCATCCATAAATCCTTAAGAAATTACCTGTGTCTGGAAAAACTTTAAAATTTAAAAAAAAAAAAAACCTTAAGAATATAAAAAAAAAAGTTTGAAAGAAAACATTTACCCTTACAACTTGTTGGTTTTGGAAATACTTCCAAAGTGTTAGAGAAAAAATAACACACTTTTATTGTCCTACTTTAAAAAATAGATTTTACCAACAATGTAAAATTTACTCTTAAAAGGCATCTTCTCAGATTTAACTTTCTACTTAATTATATGCTTTGAAAAAATACTGAACAAAGAAATGACATTTAACTTGGCCACAACTCAAAAATGAATGTGAGGGAGAAAAAAAATGACAAGAACCCAAAGACCAAAACAAATTGACAATAAAGTCTCTCTTGATGTGGAAGGATCTATCCTAGCATGTTGAAATTTTTTTATATATCTTTATTTATTTTTATGTGGTGCTGAGGCTAGAACCCAGTGCCTCACATGTGCAAAGTGCACACTCTACCACTGAGCCACAACCCCAACCCCAGCATGGTGAAATTTTGAAACTAGAAGTTGCCATTTGAACACAATTCATTAGCGAACCAGTTTTTCTAATACAACAAATCATGGAAGCATCATTAGCAATTTAAATCTGCACAAGAAATGATATGGGAAATACCCCTTTTATCAAGTAGCAGTTGTCATTTCAATCTACCATCCTCTGTTATGCTATAAACAGTATTTATTTAGTTAGTTATTGGGGATAGAACCCAGGGACACTCTACCACAGAGCTACATTCCCAGCCCTTTATCTTTTTTGAGACAACGTAGGAGGCTGGCCTCAAAATTTTCCATCTCCAAAAAGAAACTGCTTTCTGAGTTGCTGGGATTACAGTGGCATCATGTCCACCTATAATAATTTTAATCTAAAAGTCTATTTTCTATCTTTGCCCCATAAGTAAGAAGGAAAAAAAACAAAGAAATGAGAAACCAAGAAATGGTGGATGAAACACAGAAATGCATGATACAGGCAGACTTTTGGAAATTTGCCAGCAGTTTTTTTCATTAACTCCCCACTTAACTCGTTTTTACATGCTAACACATCCCATGCATACACCTTTTTGTTAGAGAATTCAGAATGAATTATGGGTTAGAAAGCATGTCATGATCATATTCTGAGATACATGAGAGTCTGAAATGCTCAGGAAAAAAAAAATGGCAAATTGTACATCAGATTGGAAACGTTATCTCCCACATCAGCTGCCCAAAATTACAAGTGGATTTGTTTGTTGTTGCCTTTGGGTGTTTTTTATTGTGGTCACAGAACCTACTAATAATAAAAGAAATCTGTGTACTGTAGGTATAAGCATACTGATTTAACAAAAGCAGAAATTTTGAGTCAACTCAATTAAATTTTAAAGTAACAGAACGGAAAAGTTAAATTGTCATGGAAAATATTTATTTAATTTCAGGGATAAGCATTTAGTTGGCATAGTACACAGGAAAAAGGCATCATACTATTTAGTGAACTCCCAATTTCCTATGAAGTGTAATTATATAAAAATGTGCTTTTAATTACTTGTAATGCCTTATAACTTTCTTTTGCTTTAAATATTTAAAAATTTACTCTCAAAACGAGTAAATATAACATTCAGCATATGCCTCATCAAATCATTCATATGCCTTGGAAATCCCAAAAGGGAGCAAAAACCTCTATTATCACTGAGTTCATGTTTGTTATGAAAACCTACAAGCAACAACTGAAAACAGCACTGTCAGCACAAGGAATTCCTGCAAGGGTGATGGTATATCAAAAGGCTAACAACTCTTTTCTGATAGAATTTTTTAAAAAAATTAAAGGACTGTAAATTCAGCATCTGTGGTGTTTCCGGCAGGAAAACATTTTTAAAATTCCACCTCCAGTTTATTTCTTCATGGCACAGACCAAAGACCTCCTATCTAAATAGCTATCTCTTGCAACCACTTCATACAAAATGGAAATCTGTCACTGTGATAAAAAGTCAGGAGTTCTTTGTGTGTGTGTGTGCGCGCGCACGCTTAGAGACTGAACAGTTTTGTTTGTTGTTGGAGGATAGTAATTAGAAAGCAAAAATGAAAAAGAAAAAGAAATATGCCCACTATTCCAAAGGCAAACTATATTTGATTTTTTTTTCTGGGCAATTCTTCTTTGAACTTCTTAAGTTCCTTAGTACTAATAAACATGAACTGTAAAACAGTATACATTAATTTTAAACAACAACAACAAAAATCCCACAACCCCATTTTATTTATGTATTTTCTTTTAAGCCCATCAAGCTAGAAGCTCCCATCGTGTTTCCAACAAAAAGAAAATATTTGTATTACTAACTTGGACTGATGTGAAATATTAAAACCACCTTAGCAGAAATAGATTACTCAATAACATCCTTTTAAATGCTGCTGACCAATTCAGGAAATGAGACTATGAATGAGAAATCTGATTAAGAGTTAAAATTACCATTTAGTTCTTTAAAATGTACTAATGAATAATTAATAACAAATGCAGTTCTTTAGCTTCCCTTACAACAATATTCTCAAGTAGAACTGAAAGTAATGTCTGCAGTAAAATCTGTCATCTACATTATATGCACAGGTGGCACAGGAAGTATTCACACATAGGAAGACATTAAGGAAACATCCTCACTAGTAATGTGGGCCATACAATAGCTGCGGTGCTTGGGTTTAAAAACTAAGCACAGCAATATTCACAAATTAATACCAAACAAAAACTCCACACAAACTAGCTTTAAAACTCAAAGGCATTAAGGAAATCCTTTGTTTCAATGATACTTTCCCATTAGACCCTAACTGGATTCCAGGCTTCTATTTTGTGACATGGGGTTTTAATGATTTCAAACATGTTCACATTCAGAAATTAGTCTCCAAAGACACTTCATGGGATAGCCAGCCACCTAGACACCACACATCATACACATTTTTCAAAAGAACAAGAGCTCTGAATACATCACTATTTGATCAGCAACATCAAGTAACCAGGCTCTCTTCTAAACACTTTTCCTTTAAATGGTTTAAAAAAAACTACACTATTGAATTAACAATAAACGTTTGATGAGTTAATAAACCTATGAAGGCACAGATCCAACCCAAGATTTCTCCCCTGTGTAGCTCTTCACTCATCCAACAATTGAGCGCTTAGCCAAGTGACCTATTTCCAGGTTACTTTCTTCGCACCTGCCAAGTTACTGTCCTGATTGAGAAACTTTTTGTCGAAGCAATTAATTTTTAGTGCCTCCTAACTGTCCCGGGTGTTTGTATTCAATTTGAAATCTGTTACTTGTTAGACACTGTTCGGTCCCAGATCTTTCAGAGAATTGCGAGTTTATGGCGCAGAGAGGGGAGGAGGCACGGATCTCGGAGAGCCTGCCCTTTATTCGGAAATGAGGAGATGTGAAAGGTGGAAGGCAGGGCAAATAAATAAATAAATCGGGTTTGCTGCCGGAGCGTTTGCCGGCCGGTTCGAGCACCCTTTGTAATGCAGGCCTCCCGGGGCTATCGCCTGCGCTAATTGCTCCAGGGCGCTCTCCAAGTTCAAAAGTTCACCTTTTACGACCTCACAAAAGCTCCTTACACGTTACCAATAAAAACATTCCGCCGCAAACACCGAGGGGGGAAAATATCAAACAGATACAAATAAAAAACCCTGCGGGGGGGGGGGAGCCCCCAGGAACCTGAGGACACCAGGACCGGGGGGCAGGGGGAGGTTGGCAGGAGGAGTCCGGCCAGGTGAGGAATTCTTAGCGCCCGAGGATCTGGATCGAGCCAGGAAAGAGAACTAGGCTGGGCAAGTGCGGGCCGGGAAGCGCCGGCAGACGCCAGGAAGAGGCAGGTGTCCCAGGCCCCCAGCCGGGCTGGAGACCTGAGCCAGCGGAAAGTGGCGGTTTAGCTAAAGAGGCTGAGCAGGGGCGGAGGCAAGCAGGAGACTGCGGGCCGACTGGGAAGGTGAGGCCGAGGCAGGAACAGGCACTAAGAGGTCCGAAAAAGGAAACGATGAGGATACCAATCAACAGGGGCTCCGCGCAGGGTGGGGGTGTAGGGACTCGCGGTATTAAGAAGGGAAGCGCGGGGCTGTGGCATGGAAAAGGCTCCAGGAAGGTGGGGGAACCAGGGTGTGGCGTCGGGTCTGCAGGGCCAGGAGGAACCCGCGTGGGAGACCCCCAGGTGGAGGAAGGACTCTGGGAACCCGGAGAAGGCGGATGCCCCCACAAACGGGCCGCAAGCGTGGGGAGTGAGGTCCGCCGGAGGGGACGCAGAGGTAGGGGAGAGGAACCCGCGTGGGGGCCCGGGGATAGCAGGAATAGAGGGGACGGGGGGGAGGGGAGGCCTGTGCTGAGGGAACACCACCGGGAGGGGGAAGTGGAGCTCGGTGCCCAGGGAACCGGGCAGCGGGAAGGCCGCGCGGAGGGCAGCGGGAAGGGAAGGGGAGGGTCTGCCGCGAGAGCGACCCAGGAGGAGGAAGGGTCCGCGTCGGGTGAAGGTCCACGCTGAGGAGCCGCAGCGGCTTCCCAGAGCTAAAGAGGGGAAGAGAGGACTCCCTGGAAGAGGGGCAGGAGGCCGGCCCTCGCCCGGCCAGGGCTCCGCAGGCCCCTCACCCACCGTTGCGCGGCGGCGGAGGGAGCGCGGCTGGCGGCTCTAGGAACCCCGCCGAGCCCCCGCCGCCTCCCCCTCCGCTAGGCGGCCGTTCGTCCCGCTCCATGCGGAGGTGCTCAGGGACCGCGCTGGGTTCGCTGTTCCGCCATGACCGGCGCACTCGTCGTCGTCGTCGTCGTCCACCGGGGGGAGGGGGGCTGTCAGGAGCCGGCTGGCTACCGGCCGCGGCGCTCTCTGGGCCCCCAGCCACCCGGCTCCGCGCCCCTCCGCGCCCCTCCGCGCCGCGCCCCCTCAGCACTGGCCAGCTCCCTCCCCTGACGTCACGCGCCGCTGCCACGCACGGCCCCGCGGGGCACGCTGGGAAGTGAAGTCCTTCTGGAGAGGCCGGCCATGCAGGACCTCACCAAACGAATGGGTACGAAGAAGAGTAAGCAGCCGTGAAAACAGGAATCCAAGGCTTGTCGATAACACGAAACCTGGTAAAACTTCTGATAAATATTGAGTAAACGGTTGTTTCAGGGTCTTCCTTTATTATGACATATCCGTGATCGAAGCGCTCGACGACTCCACTTATCCCCCTACCCCATCAATGAGTCTTCCCAAGGAGGTGGATGGAAAAGAAGCCGGGTGAGCACGTGCAACGAAGCCCAGCCCTGTAGGCGGGGCCCCGAGGAGGCGGGGCTTGGAGGTATTCACTAAGGTCTTCCTCCTCCGTTGCGGGACAAATTGGACCGAAGATTAAAGGGCCGGAGTTTAACTCGCGGTGACTGCGTTCGTATGCAAATGAATCTATACAACTCTGCTTTCCGGGGTAGTGTTTAAAGCCTTTTACCTCCTGGTGGGCGGGAAAGAGTAAAGTTTCTCATCCTCTTTCATTTTCCCCCTGCCCATAGAACAGATGGACAAACTAAGCTTGGGGACATTGATTACCATTAAAGAAAACGTTAGGCTTTTAACTCCAGATGTCTTGCAGCCCTCCATTTGAGTGGCCCCTTGCCCGGAGAACAAGCTCCTTTCCCTCTGCTCAGATTCCCTGTGAAATGAGGTTGGACTAGGCATGGGGTCCAGGTGAAAAATACCCACACACACACCCGGCCCAAACTTCTGAATTTTCCTGGGAGCATAATCCTGGATTTTCTCCGCTGTTCCCACCGGAGCACACCTTCAAGGGCCACCAGGTGGCGCGCGGCCACCGGCCTCTGGGCCTGCCAGGCTGTCTTCAGCGACCCCCTCAGGAAAGTACTCTTTGCAGCTACTGACCAGGGTCTGAGCCCTACCTGGCCTGCTTGAGGACAAAGAACGAGAATACTGGTGTTTCCCCGCCTCTCTGCTGGATTGTGCCGCAGCTTCCTCACTGGTGGCTCATTTCCCGCCCTCCCCTCCGCTTCCCTCCCCTTCCTCCACTCATCGCCCCGCCAGTTCTTTAGCTCCTGTGTGTGATTCCTTACGTTTAAATCCTTGTCCTGGCGTTTGCATTCCTTCCTGTTCTGACCCCGTCTACATTTCTTACCGCACCCCTTCCATCACCTGCTACGCAAGTTTTGCAACACTTTCCTAGAACTTGGGGGGTTACCAACATTGTGCTTCATTCTTTATCCTTTATCTGTGTTGACTACTGTTCTGAGAGATTTACATTAACATTTTGTTGCCTAAACCTCAGGGTCTCTAAGGAGGTAGCCTCATTATTTCCCTTATCATACACCGATGAAATCCCCTAGAGGTGAGATTCCAACCCCAGCTGGTCAGAAAGCTGGAATGCTGATTCACCCATCCCACTCCCAATGCTTTTTCATCTTTATAGGTTGTAAAAATACTTCTTCAGTGGCACCTTCCTTAATACTTCCAATCAAGAAACAACTAGTTCTCCTCTATATTACCGCAAGGGTCTGTTAACTCTGTGCAGACTGTAAGAAATGGTCTCAGTGATGGCTTCCTCACCACCATTTCTGAGCTCCCCCATGGGCAAGGAGGAATGCTGGCCTCTCCTACAAGGAGAGGAGATTCTTTAGCATTGGGGGAAAGAAGAAACAGAAGAGATGGCTCCTCTGCGCTATTCCCTCAGCTCTGCCTTCTAAAATATATCTAAAATTTTCCCATCTATCACAGGCTTCTGAACCTCCCAAAAGCCTTCCCAGATCCTCCTGACTACTCAAAGCTCTTTATTATCTCATCATTGTAACCCCAATTGCTGGCTGGATGAAAGGAATCAAAATAAATATACAAAGCAATGTAAAGTCTGTCTTAATAAATGGAACCTGTTACTAATGTTATTTAGAAAGTGATCCCAAGTCCCAGATACTCTCTTCTGAAAATGCTTCTAGGAAGAGTCAAAATACCACAGCACTGAGAAAAGCAAGGGGAATGTGTACGTAGACTCAGAAAGATGAAAAAGATTTCCCCCCAGCACCTGTAGTACTCAAGACAGATGAGCTGGTAAGGAAAGAAAGAATAAGGATAGATCTGATGGGGAATGGTCCTGAGGCCAGAAGCAGACAAACAAACAGGACCAGAAAAGGATACAGCAAAGAACAAGGCAGGCATCACCATCTTTAGGGGGAACTTATCCTATTGTGGAGGAGGCAGACATACTCTAATCAAATCAGGAAATCACACAAACCCACAATGGCATGAAAGTTTTACAATTGAGAACTCAGAAGTTCCAGGTCCTGGGGGAATGTACAACAGGGCTCACTATAGTTGGTGGTGGCTTTCTGGGATAAGGAGCATTCAAATAAGGTGAAGAGAATCAGTAGGAGTGTATCAGACTGGGTGGAGAGAAAGATATCCAGTTGAAGAAACGAAACAGCACAAGCAAAAGTTCCCAAAGGTAAGTCAGAGCTTGGCACATTTAAGGAAGTGGAAGATTCCATGGTATTGGAACAAGGAGAGGAACACCCCAGGTTACCATCAGGTTGTGTCAGGCAATGGCCAGTAGGGGGCAGAACTCCTAGTGACAGCAGACTTGCCAACCTACTACTCTCCTAGAAATCCAGGCAACCAGGCTGCATCTGGGAGAAAGAGAACCTTTGCCTGGCTACATTTAAGTACACTTTGTCTTTTTGGTTTTTTGTTTTTTAATAGGGAGCAAGTTGCAAAATCCACAGAATGCACACACACACAAAAAAAAAGTCTTCAACAGAAATTCTTCTGACTCCATTTCTTGCCAATCAGATCCACACTCTTTGGAGATAACCACCATATGAATATATTATGTGCCCTTTCAGAGATCATCTGAGTCCATAAGAACACAGTATTAATTTTTCACATTAAGCCTGATTTTGACACCTCCCTATGAAGGAGATCTCTAGTTATAAAAGATTCTTAATTGTACTGAAAATTGTACCGAATGCCTCCTGTATGTGATTTTTTCTTTTTCTGTACTGAACCCAGGGGCACTTTTCCACTGAGCTACATCCCCAGATCGTTTTGGGTTTTTTTTTTTTTTATGGTTTTACCACTTATTAGGGTTTAGGGATTTATTTATTTATTTATTTATTTATAGTTTTCGGTAAACACAACATCTTTATTTTATTTGTATATGGTGCTGAGGATCAAACCCAGCGCCCTGCGCATGCCAGGCAAACGCACTACCACTTGAGCCACATCCCTAGCCCCCCAGCTATTTTTTTTATTAGTTGCTCAAGGCAATACAATGATCTTGACATAACATACCTTGATTGAAATGGGGTATGAATTCTTATTTTTCCACGTGTACAGATTGCAGGTTCACATTGGTTATACAGCCACGTTTATATATACAGCAATACTAGTGTCGTTTTATTTGTTTTTCTTGAGACAGGGTTTCACTAAATTGCTGAGGCTGGTCTTGAATTGCAGTCCTTCTGCCTCAGACTCTGAGTTGCCCAGTTTAGAGGCATATAACTCTACATAGCCTACATGTGATTCCTTAAGTCGGCTGAGAGTCACTGAGCACCTATTTGTGCTAGGTCATTGGTCCTCAAGCCCTGAAGAACTTTTGAATATTGCTGGGCTGCTGAATCTTTTTCTGATTCAGTAGCTGGGCTTAGACCTGAGAATCTTCATTTTTGCTAAGTTCCCAAGTGACACTTGAGACTGTTGGCCAGGGAACCTCACTTTGAGAACAGGTGAGTCGGCTACTCTTGGAAAGAATAAAAGTGTGCACATTGATGACCTATTTCCTACAAGGGAAACTTGTGTCAAAACAGAAAGGCAGTTCCATGGAGTGAAGAGAAAATGAAGATGGTGGGAAGCTGGGAGCTGGGGCGGTGGCAGCATCTAGGGCACAAGTAAATGTTCCTTTTAGTGCAACACAAGTTTACAAGGCCAGGTAAGCACACAGCCAATCTGTCTTGAGCCCAGGAGAGTGACAAGTACACTGACTTGGTAGAGAAGGAAGAGGGAGGGGCTTCAGCCCCAAGGGGTATTCAGGGGAGGAAGGGCTTTCAAAAGACTGGGAAGGAGTCCCCAGTGAAATAAGGAAAACCAAAGACAAACCAGGGCGAGGTTCAGGAAGGTGTGACTTGGGTGTTGGTTTAGGAAGGATGGAGAGGATCTGGTTACAGGGACGCAACAAGGCATCTTGATGAAGAATTGAGACTGAAGACCCCCAGGGCGAGAAGATAAGCGGGGATCCTGAGACTTGGGCTGCCCCTGGACTGTTCTGGGGGGACAGGAAGAAGAGGGGGAGTTTAAAAGGTAGTTGGAGCTGGAGTTTGGGAGCCCACGGGAGGGTCGGAGAGGGAAGGGGCTGAGACTTGAGAAGACTAGAGTCAGCAGGGTCCCGGGGACAGAAGGGGGATGGCTTGAGAGAGCACAAGGGCTCATCTGCTGGGAACATCGTTCTTTGGAACTTCACAGCCCCTCCAGAAGGGCGATTTTCTCCATTTTACCTCGGGGAAACTGACGCTCAAATTGGTTAAGGGACACTTCCAAGGTCCTTCATCTCCCAGAATAGGACCTCGACCCGTATGGAGAGTTCGCACTGCTCTTTCTGGCCTCGCTCTCCTGCGGGCTCGGAACCGGACTCTTGTTTGCGTCCTGGCAGGGATGCCCTTTGGAAAGCCACGGGAGGGCAGGGAGGCCCCGCGCGGGCGGGGAGGGGCGGGGCGGGAACCCCCTCCGCCCTAGCTCCGCCCCAGCGGCGCCGAGGGGGTTCGGGGCGGGGAGCTGGGGCAGAGGGGGCGCGCGCGGCGGCAGAGCCGGCTGCGCAGCGGAGCTTGCTGTGCGTTCTGAGCTTCCCAGCGTCTGCTCCCGGCCACCGTGCCCAGGTGCCATGGCCGCGGCCGCCCTCCCGCCCCGGCCGATGGCCCTGTTCCTGCTGCCGCTGTTGCTGCTTCTGCTGCGGGCTGGCCCGGTGCTTGCCAACAGTAAGGTATGCGCGCCCCTCCGACCTGCCGCAGCTGGGAGAGGTCCCGTGCGAGGAGCGCGGTGCTGGGGGTCCGGCCAAGGAGGGTGCAACCCGCAGGGAGTTGAGGACCCAGAAAAGGGGAGCTCGGACCTGGGATTTAGCAAGGAAGCTATGGGAGCGAGGACCTTGGGAGAGGACCATGTGCGGGAAGAAGCGCTGGAGAGGATGGGGTGCTTGGGACCCGGAGCCTAAGGAAGGGGTGCTGATACCCAATTGGATGTGTGGAGAAAGTCAGCACTGAAATCCAGAACCAAGGAGGGGATTCCCAGGAGCTCTGGGGTTTCCACGGGAGGCTGACCACGTGGGGGCAGACCCCAGGGCAACGGTTACCCAGCAACCCTCAAGTTTGTGGTAGGCGCTAAGTCAAGGCTCTCTGGCCAGGGGTAGGGACCCAGAATCCCTCCCAGTGAACACATCTGGGCTTTCCACTGTCCTGGCCCTGATGCTGTTTGTTGCACTCTATGGAGGATGAGGCATCTCCAGAAGTGACCTAAACTATTCCCTGCTCCCGTGTCAGGCACACCTGAATTTAAATCCCATACCTTCTCTCAGCTGGTGCCTTTATCTCTCTGAGCCCCCATTTCTTCACCTGTAAACATGCGAACAAAAATAGTACCCACTCCCTGCTGTTGATGATCTCTAGATTCCATGAGATTATGCCTGTAAAATGCTTAGCAGCACACCTGGAACCTAGTAGATGCTCAATAAATGATTCTGTAATTATGGAATCTTATCATAGGGATCCCAAAAGGGGGTGGGAGATCCAGAATGTACAGGGAGAAAGCACTTAGAGTCAGTCAGAGCAGGGCTCCCTTAAGGGTGTTTTGAAAATTACCTGATGAAGATGAGCCTGAAGGAAAAGAGATCCATAGGGCCCTGTTCACAGGACATGAAGGCAAGAGTGACTTCTCTTAATGTCATTCCAGCCTCTTTCCTAGTGGAAGTGTGTCTGCTCTGCCCATAGGCAGGTAAAAGGCAGAAGCTTTTCTTTTGCTGTGTGACCTTGGACAAATCACTGCCTATCTCTGGGTTTCATTTCCCCCATCTGAAAAACAACGCCCCCCTCCCTCACTTTTTTTCAATCTGAGACCCTTTATGACTCAGGTAGGAGAGCTCAGGTAAGAGAACAAGAACAGAAAATCCCAAATAACCTGGTCAGTGCTTTGTCACCTCTTGCTTCTCTGATCTTTGACTGGGAGGGCATTCTCTGAGCTATGCAGAGGGCTGTAGTTTGTAGGGAGGGCTCACATCCAAAACAAAGCAAAGACAAAGAAAACCCAACACCCTGTTTATGTAGTGAGTCAGCCAAACACTTGCTAGGTTGGGGGGGGTGTGTATTTAGTTGTCCTAGGGCAAGCCAGGGCTGGTGGGGTGGGGAGGCACATCCAAGAGTTGGGAGGATAAAGCAGCTGGGGGACCCAGCACAGCCCTCCCCCAGACACTTCCCACCCATGTGCCACTTCAGCCAGCTGGGGAAAATAAAAATCAAGTGATGGGTGAATGTACTCTGCATTCCTTAGCCTGGCCAGACTCCTGCAGGCTCTGAGAGAGCTGTTTTCATTATCACCGCCGCCTCCCCCATCACAGCCCCTCCTTCCTCTCTGAGCCTGTCCTATTCCCCCCCCCCCCCCCGTTGGTGGGGAGCCCCTGGAGGGCCAGCTTGGACCTTGAAGTGGATTAGCACTCTAAAGGGTTAAATGGACCTCTCTTCAGGCAGAATTCCTGATCAGGAGGTCCAGTCTCCCTCCTGTCCAGAACCTCTAGGGATGCTGGGACAACTCACCCCCAGGAATCACCACGGAACTCTGTCGGTATCTCCTCTGCCAGCTTCTTGCTCACTGTGTTTTAATTTCACATTTATAGCAATGTCTGTCCTAAATAGAATTCGAAGTTTCCATCTAAGGAAGTGCTTTGTCTAGCCTGGGAGTAGGAAAGGGAGCTCACAGCTTCCCCAGCATTTCTGAGGGGCTGCCCAGCTTGAAGATTGGGATGGAAGGACAGGTAACCACACGACACTCAGTAATGGCACCAAAGACCCCAGGGAACCTGCTTGGATTGGGCTGAGAATTCCCCTCTCTACCTCAACTTTCACATCTGCAGAAGGGGTACTGCACCTTACTTCCTGCATGCAGTAGAGAATGTCTGTTCATCCTTCTGTCCAGGACCCTGGAGACAGAGTGAAGGCCAAGGGCTGCGGGAGCCAGACCAGGGGAGCAGGAGGGGCTGGAGCAGCCAGGCTGTGATGTCCCAGGCTGGGTCAGATGTTCCAGGCCTGTCCCAGGGGCTTAGGTGTTGCTTCTTGTCTGCTCCCAGAGTTTCCGCCTGTGGGTGTAATTGGAAGCAGGCTCCTGAGCTGGGAGAGAGGCTGAGTGAGGGAGTCTTCCTCCTGTTTCCAATGCATGAAGCCAGTCCCCATGCATTGCAGGGAAGGTCTTACCCAACACCCTGACTGACTGGGACACAAGAACAAAGCCCTGAGGAGCATTCCCTGTCGAAAACCCTGTGCCCAGCGCTTACATTCACAATCATGCACCATCTGCCAACATGCTGAGGGGCTCATGGACCCTTCCTATCCGATGGACTTGAGCCCTCAACAGAGTCAACTGGGGCTGCTTGGGTAGCAACAGAGGGAACGTGAGAGTTTGGAGATTCCTAGAGCTTCAAGACTCTTGGCATTTAGTTCTCATCCAAATGGCCTAGGGAGCCTGAGAAAGTCTGAATCGGGGTGGCGAGTAGGGCAAAGACATCTGCATTTTCCAAGTGCACCCCAAGTCATTCTGAGGCATGTCCCACTGTTTAGAACTTGTGGGGGTGATAGGGAGCTACAGAGGTTTGTGGAGCAAAAGAGTAACACTGATCATGAAAGAAGAGCGTTGGAAGATGAGCTGAGAAGAAGCTCCCGTATTGGTTGTCCAGACAGCAGTTCATGCGGCCTGACTTAGGGCTATGTCCCTGGAGTAGACAGGTGGGAGACACTTAGGGTGAAGACCCTGAAGAACATGGTGACTGACAGGTCATGCAGGGAACAAAAGAAATCCAGAAATCCAGGTTGGGCAGGAAGGTGGGTGGGCACAGGTTTGGGAGAAGAAGGCTGGATGGATGTTGGTCTTGGATGGATCAAGTTTTCTGTGCCTGTGGGATCCAAGGGAGGTGTCCAGTGACAGTGGGCTCCAGGGGAAGGCTTTGTGTGGAAACTGTCTCACCCGGCTGGGCTGCTCTAAGAGCCAAGGGCAGCCCCAACCTCAACATGACAGCATTCGAGCCTGTTCCCCCATTGCTAGAACATTCCACAGCTTGAACCCTCCCTTCCCACTCTGGCCAGATTTATCCATCTCTTCTTCAGAAAAATCTCAAGTACACCCTCTTGCCATCTCGTTGTGAGATTTCCTTGGACATTTTTCAGCATAAAAACCGCCTAGGGGCTTTGGCAGCAGCACGGAGCACGGCTCCAGGAGGAGGGCGACTGAGGCAGGAACTTCCTACCTGGCTGCAACTCTAGTCTTCCTGCCAGGGAAGCCCTAGCCCCTATTCCCCCCAGGGCCCCTTGCTCTGCAGACCCATCTGTCCCAACTCAGTTGCTGGGGAGAAGCCCTTGTCTGGTGACTGTGGGTGGTCCTGGGAGGGACGACAAGTAAACCAGATTTTGGAGCCTGGTTGTGCTGTGCAGCCCTGGGAAAGCCCCTAGTCTTCTCTGACACTCAGCTTCTCTATTCCTAAGATGGGGTTGTGGTGATAGCAGAGAGGGATAGAAAGGGCTGGGCTGGGGCTCAGGATAACAGCGCTTACCTAGCATGTGTGAGGCCCTGGGTTCCAGCCTCGGCACCACATATAAATAAATAATAAATAAAATAAAAGGTCTATTGACAACTAAAAAATATTTTTTTAAAAAGACGGATAGAAAACGATGGGTGAAGATGAGGGAGGGTTTTCAGCGGCCAAAGCAGGTACCTTTCAGAGAAGTTATTCTGTGCCAGATCCCTGCCCGCTGCTCTGGGTGCACCGATGGTTTCCAGACTCCCAAACTGAAAAATGGCACTATGCTGTCCCCAGTTCAGTTTCACGGGATGTGCCTGGACTCCTGGCAGCCAAGGCTGGGAGCAGAGGACCTCTTCCAACTCCTGGCCTGTGTCAGGGCCTTGGCCGCCCCCAGCAGGACATAGCAGCTCATCTGAGGAGGGAAGGAATGTAGCAGCCTAATGTGGAGGCTGCTGCGGGTGGGGTGGGTGTTGGGTAGGCGGGTCCTGGGGAGGCCTCTCTGGCTTGACCACACAGCACACAACCACGTTTACCTGCTGGGCTTGTTTTAGGGCCCGGGATTGAACCCAGGAGCATTTAAACCCCTGAACCACGTCTCCAGCCTATTTTTATATTTTACAGGGTCTTCCAAGTTGCTTAGAGCCTCACTAAGTTCCTGAGGCTGACCTTGAACTCACGATCCTCCTGCCTCAGCCTCAGCTGAGTTGCTGGGATGACAGGCGTGTGCCACTGAGCCTGGCCCTACTGGGCTCTTGACCCCATCTTGGGAATGGCAAGAAAAGGCAGGTTTAGGGCACTCCCAGAGGCCTAGAGAATCCCAGGCTCCCAGGTCTCGCTGTCAGTGTTCACAGGCAGGAGAGACTTGGCCCATAGTGGCCGGGACACACTCCTTCCACCCCTCGCCACCCTCCTCAGCTCCCACTCTCCCCTCCTCCTGCACAGCTGCAGAGAGCAGGGAAGTCCACACGACAAGGGCTCATCCTCTCATTTGATGGCTCCAGAACTGTCTCCTTGCCTGTAGGATGCTGCTAAAAATAGAAGAATGAATGAAAGAAAGAGAGAGAGAATATCTTCCACTCCCACAGAGAAATGAACAGCCAACTCCCGTTAGGACTACTGACAGTGAGAATGACAGCTGCAGTATAGGTGATACCCTATGTGCTCTGGGACTCCAGCTCAGTCCTCACACAGTCCTTTGTTGGGTAAGCACTAGTAACACCCCCATTTTACAGATGAGGAAATGAAGGCCCAGAGATGTTAAGTAATCCCTCCAAGAGCACACAGCTGTAGGTGGCCCATGACTGTGTTCTACCCCTACCCCAATGCTGAAGGAGTGCTCCAGAAATGCCTTCTAGGCTGCGTGTCCTGAGCTTGCTGCGCATATCTGCCATCTGTCCCCACAGCAGCCTGTGTGAGCTTCCTGTGGTGTGGATCCAACCTTGGTTCTCTGCTGTTTAAAATCCTTCCGAGGCTCCCTAGTGTTTCCAGAAAAATGCCAAGATCCTCAGCCAGCACAGGACCCTCCACCCACACCAGCCTCACCTCCTGCCACCCTGGCCCCCAAAGACACAAGCCAGAGTGAGGCACCTCTAGGCCCCCGGAGAGCCAAGCCCTTGGGTCTGATTGACTTCCCAGAATGCCCTTGTCCCCCTGAGAGACGCCCTCCAAAGGGGCCCTCCTCTGAGTTGTCTGCTCTCGGAGTTCACCCAGACACTTCTCCAAGGCTGCGAAGGTCAAGAGGATGCCTCAGTCTCTTTCTTCTGTACCCCTAGCTAGCCCGCAGGGCCTGGCAGAGACCAGGGGCTCCAATAGATGACTGAGCAGAAGTGGGGTACCCGAGGTCCTCCCAGAAGGTCCCGGGACACCCACAGCCCTGGCTTGGCAGAAAGCCCAAGGGAGCCACAAGCTCACTTGAGTCCTGGGAGCCTTCGGAAAAGCCAAGCAGCCCCAAGACCAGCAAAGTTTGTTGACTGAGCCATGAATGACGGCCAAGGTCCCAGAGCCCAGTGTGGGCAGCTGGGCCAGCTAGGGGGCAGGCTGCCCAGGGGCCCAGGGCCCAGAGGTGGGTCAGGGCCAGGCAGGCTGCGGGACGCCCCAGGCTGACTCCCACAGGCACAAGGCCCTGCTGCCCCCAGTGACCAGTGAGCAGCACACCTGGACGGTGTGTTCCCTGTGTCCCCCCAGGAGGGGGCTGAAAGAAAAGGGAAGGGCTGGGGCTGCCATATGGCTCAAGTAGTAGCGCACTCGCCTGGCATGCATGAGCACTGGGTTGGATCCTCAGCACCACATAAAAATAAAATAAAGATGTGGTGTCCACCTAAAGCTAAAAATTAAATATTAAAAAAGGAAAAGAAAGAAAAGGGAAGGGCTGATGTCATCTGGTTGGATCCCCACCATGAGGAAGCTGGCTATGGAGAATCCTCCATTTTTACCATGGGAAGGAACGAGGCTCAGCAAGGTTGTGTAACACATTTCAAGTCACTCAGGACATGGGGAGTAAGTCAGTAAGAGAAGTGGTATGGGGTTTGTGGATTGTATTCTGGAACCAGATCTTCTACCTCAGAGGTGTGTGACCCCGAGCCCGTGACTCACTCGGCTGAACCTGTTTTTTTTAACCTACGTTAGTTACTAACAGTACGTAGAGAAGGCACACTTCATACACGCTGGGCCCTGAACTCACCTTCATAACAGCCCCAGAGGCAGTAGCCCATGTTACAGATGAGGAACTGAGGCACAGAAAGGTGGAGTTGCTCACGGTCTCCCCGGGCTCCAGGCTCCAGGCACCTGCTCTGACGCTCTCTGGCTTCTCTAGGGAAGGTGGCCTGCTTGTCCAGCGGGTACTTGTGGAGCTCCCACTCTCAGCAGAGGTCCAGTGGGCACGGTCTGGGGTACAGGAGAGCACTAAGCACAGCACCTATCTTTAAATAATATATTTTTTTGTTGGTGGTGGTGCTGGAGATGGTTGCTACCGAACCAAACTCCCAGCCAAACCCTGTCTCTAATGTTGCCTATAAAAGAGAAGGAAAGAGGGCTGGGGATGTGGCTCAGGCGGTAGCGCGCTCGCCTGGCATGCGTGTGGCCCGGGTTCAATCCTCAGCACCACATACCAACAAAGATGTTGTGTCCACCAATAATTAAAAAATAAATATTAAAAAAAAATTCTCTCTCTCTTAAAAAAAAGAGAAGGAAAGAAAGAAAATAAGCAAATAGAGGTACAATATTTCAGGTGGTCACATAATGAAAAGCAAAGCACTGAATAAGGCCTTAAAGAATAGTCAGGGAAGGCTTCTCAGAGGAGGTGACAAGTGAGCAGAGAAATAAGCAGCATAATGGAACAAACCAGGGGAATGTGAAAGGGATGAAGTTTTAGGGTGAGAGCATTACATATGCAAAGGACCTAGGCTGAAGTGGAGTAAGCCATCAGAAGGGAAGGGCAGTAAGAAGAGAGATTAGAGCAAGAGCATCAGGTCACATGGTTAGGACTTTGGAGGTAATGATACCCTCACATATGTATTATTAAAGGACATAATGCCTGTAAAACCTAGGATAAAGGAAGTGCTCAAATAAATATTACATTTTAGAAAAGTAACATAAAAGTTACCATTTTATGCTAGGCATGATGATGTGGGCTTGTAATCCTGGTGACTTGGAAGATTGAGGTAGAAGGATTGCAAGGTCAAGGTCAGCCTTGGCAATTTATCAAGATCCTGTCTTAAAATAAAAATTTAAGGGGGCTGGGGATGTGGCTCAAGCGGTAGCGCGCTCGCCTGGCATGCCTGTGGCCCGGGTTTGATCCTCAGCACCACATACCAACAAAGGTGTTGTGTCCACGGAGAATTAAAGAATAAATATTAAAAAAAAAAACAATTTAAAAGGACTGTGGATGTGGCTTAGTGGTAGAGCATGCTGGGTTCAATTCCCAGTACTATTTTTTTTAAAAAAGTATATAGTTTAGTGGGAGGCGGTGCATTCACAGTGTTGTATGAGCATCACCACTCTGTAGTTCCAGAAAATTTTTATCATCCCCAAAAGAAATCTTGTTAAATGCCACTCCCATTTCTCTGTCCCTCTGAATCCTTCCAACTGCTAGTCTGCTTTCTGTCTTTCTGGATTTGCCTATTCTGGATATTTCATATAAATGGAATTGTACAATATGTCACCTTTCGTGTCTGGCTTCTTTCACTTACCATTATGTTTTCAAGTCTCATCTGTGTTGCAGCCTGAATCAGTACCCCACTTCTTTTTATGGCTGAGTGATATTTAATTGTGTCTACATACCACATTTTGTTTAACTGTTCAGTGGCTGGAATGTGTGTTGTGTTCATTCTGTGCCTGTTTGAATAATGCTGCTATGAACGTTCACACAGGTCTTTGGATACCTGTTTTCCAAACAAAGAATTACTGGATCAGCCAGGAGCAGTGACACACACCTATAATCCACATGACCTCAGAGGCTGAGACAAGAGGATCACAGGATCAAGGCCAGCCTCAGCAATTTAGCAAGGTCTTGGGCAATTTAACAAGACCCTGGCTCAAAATAATAAATAAAAAGATCTGGGGGTATATCTCAGTGGTAGAATGCTCCTCTGTTACATTCCCAATACAAAAAAATTTAAAAATCTTATGGTAATTCTGTTTGACTTATTGAAGACCCAGCAGACTTTTCCATAGCAGCCATTAATAGTAATAGTAGCAATAATAGCAATGTTATTAATAATAATATTATTGTTGTGGATTATTATTATTAATTAAAGCCTGTTGGGCTCTACTCCTGAACTATATCCCCAGCACTTTTATTTATTTATTTTAAATTTTTTTGGTACTAGGGAGGAAATCCAGGGGTGCTTAACAGCTCTTTTTTGCATTTGATTTAGAGACAGGGTCCCACTGAGTTACTTAGGACCTAAGTTGCTGAGGCTGGCTTTGAACTCGAGATCCTCCTGCCACAGCCTCCCAAGCCACTGGGATTACAGATGTGCACAACCACGGCCAGCTTATTTTTTATTTTAAGGCAACAGTCTGTCTAAATTACTGAAGTCTCAGATTTGCAATCCTCAAGATGGGAAGATCTTCCAGGTTCTTAGATAGACAGAATTTGCAATCCTGCTGCCTTGGCCTCCCAGGTTGCTGGGGTGACAGCTGTGCAGACACATAAGGGCCCTATTTCCCTGCAGGGGCTGCCCCACCACCCCGCACCACCACCTTTACCCCCGCCCTGCATCAGGCCAGCCGGGCTGATCCTGCTCACCCCACGGCACTGGCTGACGTCGCACGGAGCCCCCTGACTCCTCCATCCCCACAGGTGTTCGGTGACCTGGACCAGGTGCGGATGACGTCGGAGGGCTCGGACTGCCGTTGCAAGTGCATCATGCGACCGCTGAGCAAGGACGCGTGCAGCCGGGTGCGCAGCGGGCGCGCGAGGGTGGAGGACTTCTACACCGTGGAGACCCTGAGCTCGGGCACCGACTGCCGCTGCTCCTGCACCGCGCCACCCTCCTCGCTCAACCCCTGCGAGAACGAGTGGAAGATGGAGAAACTCAAAAGGCAGGCACCTGAGCTCCTCAAGGTAGGCGTGGCGGGGCCAGGGAGGTGGTGCCAGGCGTCCTTCGGTGACAGCGCACCACGTTCTGGGAGGCAAGTGCTGTTACCACCCCATTTCACAGATCAGGAAACTGAAGCTCCCCAGGGAGAACTCACTTCTTGCCCACGACTGTTCTGCCAAACTCCTTTTATAAATTATTTCTCCGAATGCTTATACCATTCTGTGACATGTGAGATGACCGTCTTCTTTTTATAATTTGGAAAACTGGAGGTTTAGAGGAGCTAGGTAACTTGTCACCCAGTGACAGGCAGCCTCTGCCTATACAGGTTGAACCTCCCTAATCTGAAAATCCAAAATCTGAAATGTTCCACAACCTGAAACTTTTTGAGGTCCACAAGTGGAAAATTCTGTACCATGAAACTTTGTTTCCTGAACAAATTATTTAAAATATTATATAAAATTACTTTCAGCTATATGTATAAAGTGTTTGTGAAACAGAATGAATTTTGTGTTTAGATTTGGGTTCCATCCCCAAGCCGTGTATTTGCAAATATTACAAAATCCCCCCCCAAAAAAATCAAAATCCAAATACAAAACGTTCTGGTCCCAAGCATTTCTGGTAAGGGACACTCCACTTCTGTGTGAATTAGAAACTGCATCCCCATAGGCAGATTCAAGAGAGGTCCCATTTCTGGGAAAGCCAACACCAGGGTGAGGGCCCACCACTAGGCCCAAGGTTAGGTGTGTTCTGGGTACATCTCAGTCCCCACTGCCAGCCAGATGCCTCTGTGCCATTCATACCAAACCCAGCAGGGCACCCAGTAAGACTGATGGGGCTGGGATTGGAACTGAGGTTCTACTATGTCAAGAGCAGGTGCTTCAAGGGCTTTTCTCTTCTTTCTCTTGAAAAGGGCCAGATTGTTGGCATCTTTTCAAAGTATCCTTTTCAACTCCTTCCAAACATGTGTCTGTTTTGCCTGTTTGGTGTCACAAAGCATGCAAGGTTACCCTGCCTGTGAGCTAACAAGTTAACCTGACAGCTTCATAGACGTTGGCAGAAGACTCAAGCCTCCTGGGTCCAAGACAAAGGATTTTACTACTCACAGCAATTTTTCATTTTTATTTTTATTTTTATTGGTACTGAGGATTTAGCCTGGGGGCACTTTACCACTGAGCCCAATTCTTTTGGGTTTTTATTTTTTTTAATATTTATTTTTTAGGTGTAGATGGACACAACACAATGCCTTTATTTTTATGTGGTGCTGAGATGGAACCCAGGTCCTGCCCGTGCTAGGCGAGTGCTCTACCGCTGAGCCACAATCCTAGCCCTGGGTTTTCGTTTTAATACAAGGTCTCCCTAAGTTCCTTAGAGCTTTGCTAAATTGCTGAGACTGGCTTCAAATTTGTGATCCTCCTGCCTCAGCCTCTGGATCCACTGGGATTACTGGCCACTGCATCCGGCCAGCAAATATTTTCTTGCACTGGTTTCCCAGCTCAAGTTTCCATGGGGTGATGCAGTTAGAGGCAGATTACCCACAGCGCACACAGGGAGCAGTGTTATAGAGAAGAGCCCCGAGTTAAGGAAATCTGAACCTTTTATAATTTTCTAGAGGGAAATGCTCTGCTCTTGCCTTCTTCCAGAGCTGTTCCCTATACAACGAGATGGCTGGGAACAAAGACAGCTCCTCTGTGTGCAAGATGTGCAGAAAAGCAAGAGACCCTGAAAACTTGTCTCCAATGCTGGACATGGTGTCTCAGCTGCTCAGGAGGCTGAGGCAGGAGAATCACAAGTTTAGCAACTTAGTGAGAGGCTGTGTCAAAACAAAAATATAAAAAGGACTGGGAATGTATCTCAGTGGTAAATCTCTAGTAACCCCCACCCAAAAAAAAAAAATAAAGAGAAAGAGAGAATTGTCTCACAGCAATTGGCTAAGAATGTTTTCTTTAATTTTACCTTTAGTTTTATTTTCATAACACCTAACCTGACAGTTTCATGGACATTGCATGCCAAATATTTACAAAATTGGAGGGGGAAGGTGAATTTTAGGCCTCCTGACAGTTTGACAGTCACTGAACCACACTGTCTTCCTGGAAATTCCCAAGCAACTGCAGCCACTCAGGCCACAGACTTGTCTTCATTGACAGGGACAAATTCAATTTCTGTTCCAGTCTGCTTCTCAGTAACTGAATCATAAAGATGCTTGACATGAAGACACACAAAGCTCTTTTCATGAACACTGGCTACTTTAATCCTTGCCGCAACCCTTGGGAAAGGGAACTTATGGTGCCAGCTTTACTTGTAAGGGACTCTGAGGCCCAGAGAGGGGTTATGACTTGCCTAAGATCACACAGCAAGAAAGTGACAGTACTAAGATTTGAACCAGGGAATTCCCTGTAGCATCCCCTTGCCCACAAGAGAGGTCACAGGCAGCTCTCTCACCCAGGAGCCTTCTCTACCAGGCCATTGTCCCTTAGGCCTTCTCATGCCCTGCAGACATGGGGACTTGACTCAGCCTTGGAGAGCTGGGTGAGAGTAAGGTGAAGGTGGTCTGAGCAGGTGGGGCCAGAGCAGGCCGAGAGGATCCCACCTCACTGAGCTCACAGGGCAGGAGTGAGTGCCGAGGGTACCCACTGAACCCCAGGAGGAGAAAGGGGCAAGGCACTGGCTTCTCCCATTCAGTGTGGCCCCCCCTTGGCAGGAGGTTCCTCTGAAACATGGGGGGGCCTCAGCAGGGCACCTGCCTGCATCGCCCTCCTCCCCTCCAGGTGCTAGCTCCCGCTGGGACCTGGTCCCTGCAGGGCTCTGCACCGCTCCCTCCAGATGAGGTTGGTGGCCTCCCCTCCTCTACTCCTTGCTTTCTGGTCATGGGGCACACGTGGCCTAGCCTGGAGGAGTCCCCAGGCTTGTCAGGACACAGCTACTGACCCCAAGAAGGCAGTGTGTTCAGTCCTGGGCCAGGGATGTCCCAGGGACAGAGAGAGCCGCAAGCAGGGGATAACCTTGGATGGGCCTTGAAGGATGCGTAGGAGTTCCTCAGGCAGAGAAGTGAGGCCGTTCTGGACAAGGGCCAGTGGAGTACATGTGACAGAGGCCTCCCTGCCCTCTCTGCCCGAGCCCTGCTGGCCTCCTGTCACCTCCTCTTACATAGTGTTTCTCAAACTATCTGCAGTGAAGGATCACCTGGTTTTTTTTTTTTTTTGAACCCAGGGGTGCTTAACCACTGAGCCACATCCCCAGCTCCTCCCCCCGTTTTTTTTAAAGAGAGAAAGAGAGAACTTTTTAATATTTATTTTTTAGTTTTTTTCCATGAACACAACTTCTTTATTTTATTTTATTTTTATGTGGTGCTGAGGATCCAGCCCAGCACCCCTCGCATGCCAGGCGAGCACGTTACCGCTTGAGCCACATCCCAGCCCCTCCTCCCCTTTTTTTGATAGATAGATAGGCTCTCACTAAATTGCCTCACACCTGGTCATTTGCTGAGGCTGGCCTTGTACTTGTCATCCTCCTCCCCCAGCCTCCCAAATCGCTGGGATTAGAGGCACGGACCACCACACCTGGCTGACTTTTAAAAAAGAAAAGGAAAAAAATCTGTCAGAGACCAATATTTTTGTGAAACACCAATGAGTTATTAGAAAAATGAACCAAGGGGCTGGGGATGTGGCTCAAGCGGTAGCGCGCTCGCCTGGCATGCGTGCGGCCCGGGTTCGATCCTCAGCACCACATACCAACAAAGA